TTCATGATTATCTTATGGTCATTATTTGGGCACCTTTGTTTCAACTCAAATACTTTACCATGCACTTGTTACCAATCTATTAAAATATGCTATCTTTCCTTTGGAAATAACATCTATCCATTCTTTTATTCTCATTTTTGTCCGCCATAAGAATAGGAGAAATGTGTGATTGCATTTTATTGGTCTTGAACTTAAAAGAAAAACAAACATGAAAGATCTTAGCATTACTTTTGAAAAGTTAACAAAGGCAAATGAAAAAGAATGAGAAAAACATGACAAGACATTGATGTTGTAAATTTTTTAAGAAGAAAAATATTGTGGTAAGATGTTAAGAACAGATTGGTCATATAAGAATTTTGATAAAAGAAGCCAAAAGCGAGAGATTTCGAGAACTTTTTTATTACAATGAATAATTTCAATGGCATTACATGCATTGCATTTAGAGCACTCAATACATGCATCTATGAGCAGTTTTAATAAAGACAAAGACTTTCCATTTCCTGATCAAAAAAAAGATTTCAAAAGAGAGAAATTTACTTGTTAAAAGAAAAGAACTCAGTTTTGAAAAAAGATGAGATTTTAAAGTTATTGAGCCTCTGCTGAAAGGAGCTTTTTTCAAGATGATTTTTAAAGTCGTTGAGCCTATGTTGAGAGGAGTCTTTTTTAATATGAAAATTTTAAAGTTATTGAGCCTCTACTGAGAGGAACTTTCCAATATGATTTTTAAAGTCGTTGAACCTCTGTTGAGATGAGCCTTTTTCAAGATGAGATTTTAAAGTTGTTGAACATCTGCTAAAAAGACCTTTTTTCAATATGAGAATTTTTAAAGTTGTTGAGCCTCTGCTGAGAGGAGCTTTTTCAGGATGAGATTTTAAAGTTGTTGAGCTTCTGCTGAGAGAAGCCCTTTTCAAGATAGATTTTAAAGTTGTTGAGCCTTTATCGATAGGAGCTTTTCAAGATGATTTTTAAAGTCGTTGAACCTCTACTGAGAGGAACCCTTTTCAAGATGAAATTTTTAAAGTTGTTGAGCCTTTGTTGAAAGGAATCTTTTTCAGATTTTAAATTTCCAAAAGTTGTCGAGCCTCAAGTGAGATGAGCATTTTCGATTTGAAAAAAAAACTTTTTGAGTAGGCTATGTTAAAAAAAAAAAGAAAAAAAAAAACCCATTTGGATTTCGGATAAAATTGTTGTCTTTATCTTTGCCATATTACTGATTATCAGCAATGTGCAAAGAAAGGTAGCTGTGAACTTCAAATTTGTAAAAAAAAAAAAATTATTAAATACAAAATACAAAAGAAAAACCAAAATACAAAATACCAAAAAAAAAAATAGAATCGAAAAAAATGAGGGATGGCAGTGGTGCTTTCCTCGGCACCACTGCTACCATACCTTACTACTCATCCCTCACCAGGCCCTACCCCTCACCCCTCTGATCACCTAACCCTACCACTGTCAGATGTTACCAAAAAAAATAAAAAAGGCATGGGGGTCATGCTTGCACCCCGATGCCTAGCCCTGTGCCATTCCCTTAGGCACGGGGCACTGTCGGAGCTCTATAAATAGAGCTCCTGGCCAATCAAAAACGGAAGGGGGAAACAAAAGAAAAACGAAAGAGAGATTCTGCCAAAAAAAACAAAAAAAAATCAACAATCCTCCCCGTATGGAAGAACCCAGCGCCGAGCTTCCTGCACAAAAAAAAGTCAGTTTAAAAAAAAAGAGTCAGAATACAAAAAATATATAGTTTCACCGAAACTTTGAAAGCAGATCTAGGGAAGTGAGGACTTTTTTTGGTAAAAAAGATGTCAAATCTGTGTTCAGGAGGTCGAAAAGAGTTTGTGAGTGTTTTTTAGAATTTTTCAGCACTGACGACAGTGGCTGGAGCTAGCTGTTTGTAGGACCACGGCGGCAGTCGCGACGGACGGCCATCGGCCCCAGGTCGACTGAAAAAAAAAAGCATTTTTTTTTAGGAAAAAAAGAAATGACGCTTAAAAAAATTTGGGCTTTTTATATAAGTTGTTAATAGCCAAAACGACATAGTTTTAAGCACCTAGGATCCGCGCGTCAACCAGCTACCCGACTCGGGGTCCGCGCACCCGACCCATAACCTACTTCTCATCAGCCTCTGACCGATCTGACTGAACCGATATCGAACCGCTGAACCCGAACCGAATCGATATCGAACCGCTAAACCAAACAAACCTCGCCCAGACAAAGTCGAACCGCTGGATCGAACCGTCAAACCGAATCGTACGTTGATTGAATTGTTGATTGGTTCGGTTCAGGTAAAAAAAATTTTTTTTAAAATATTTTTTTTGTTATTTTAAGTATTATTCTTAATATTTATGCATATAAAAAATGTTTAAATTTATCAAAATAAATTTTTATTGTTTTATAATATTAAATATTAAAAAATAAATAGTAAAATATATGATAAAAGTTTTTTATAATTTTATTAACTTTAAAATAAATCTTTTAAAATAATAAAGACTAATAAAAAATGAAAAAAATAAAGACTAATAAAAAATGTAAGAAAATAAAATTTTTATCCGACGATGAGATTCAAAGGTATTTCAAGTAGTGATACCTACGAAATCTCTAAGTGAAAAATTTTTTTTTTTAATATTATCAGTGTATTGGAGTATTTATAAAAAATTTTTCAATACAATAAATTTTTTTTTAAAGTAATAAATAAAAATTGATTAATGTATTAAAAATATAAGTAATAAAAATGAGAAGAAAAGAAATTTTATCTGATGATGGGATTTTAAAAGTATTTCGAGTAGAGATGCTTTAAGAAATTTCTAGGTGAAAAGATTTTTTGTAAAATATTATCAGTGTATTAGAATATTTATAGAAAATTTTCAATATAATTAAATTTTTTTTCTTTAAAATTTTAATTAAAAATAAATATTAATAAAATAATTAATAAAATTTATAACAAAGGAGAATAAATTATGTGCATCAACATAATAACATTTTACATTGCATGCATGACATTTTTATTGGTATCGTTTTTAACGAACGTTGTATGGGTGCTAATCTTTCATCATGCGTAACCGATTTCTAAACATAGATTATTTAATAGACAGTAAAATTATTTTTTTAATAAATTTTAATTAATTTAAAAATTTTATTAAAAAAATATGTTTTAATAGGTAATCAATCACATCTAACAAAAAAAATTAATGATGATTTTATTATTTATTATTTTATTTTTAAATTTATCGACAGATATAAAAATATTACGACACGAGTAAGTGACTAAGTAGGTGTCTGAGTGAGTCGCAGAGCCGATAAAGGTTGCGTGCTTGCGTTGGCCGTCAATGTCCAATGATCGATCGAGAAATGGCTACAAGGGTGAGGCCATGAGGGTGAGTGGCTGTAACTGAGTAGGTGTCTAACAGTTTGGGTTGGCGGCTGGGACTGGATAGGTGACGGTGAGCTGGTGGTGAGGATCTTTTTATAAATGTAAAAGATAAAAAAATTAAAAAGAATATTAAAATTATATTAATAAAAATATATAATATTTTAATAAAATTTAATCGATTTTTTCGATCAATTTGGTTTATAATCTTGAAACTGAAAATCGATCGTCTAAACTGATTTAATCGAAATTTTAACCAATTTAATATATATAACCAAAAAAAACCGAAATCGATTTAACTTATATATCAATTTTTGATTGATTTTTTCGGTTAAATCTTATTTTTGCACAGCCCTAAGTGAAAGACAAATCTCTCCTAAAACTCTACTGACAAACTCGCGACTCTCTCTATAAACTTTATTTATTTCTCCATCACCAGCTACATTTAAGTATCAAAAGAGATCTTCACTTTTCCTTTTTTTTTTCGTTCTCCCCACTTCCTTGTTTTTGCAGCATCTTCTTTTCTTAATGAGTAAGGATTTCTTGCTCCAACTCTAGCTTTTGATTCAGTCACAATAGCTCATTTTTACGTCATCTCTTTAAAAAAACCCACAAGTGGCTTCAAATCTTTCTCCCTTCTCTCCCAATCCTTCAATTTTTCATTAATATTTTTTCCTAGAACAAGCATGAAACCCATAGGTATCGCATAATTCTCAATATTTTTGTTTTGTTCTTTAATCTTTCTTCGTTCTCAAATAAATTTTGTACAAAAACCCAACAACCACAACATCAGTGAAGAGATCTCCAGCCAAGATTTACCCACCTTAAAAGGAGGATCTTTCAATTTTGAACGGGTTTTATAAATTTGAAAAGGTTATTATAAATTATTATGTATTTTTGTGGATTTTCGTATGAATTTTTATGAATATGGATGTGTTACGAACTTTCATGAGTATTTGATGAATTTATTAATGTTAAAATCATGAAAATTGATATTTAAATATGGAATATCCATTAAAAAATGTTAAAATAAAAAAAAGACGTTGATGACAGCTGACGGAGAATATTTTAGTGTTGTCCTCCAAACATAAAAGCTATTTTCTATAAAATTCTTCAAACAAAAAGTAGTCTCTTTCACAAAAGATTTTTCATGAAAAATATTTTACTTTCATAAGTTATTTTCCGATTATCAAACAAAGCCTTAATTCGATTTAGGCAATAAATCCCAATTTTAGTAAATTATCATTATTTCAAAAACCTACCACCAAAACTTTGTGCACTACTTGCTGTACCTAAATATTGCAAAAGATAAGTTCCATGCATTTGGCATTTTAACAGAACCGGAGGCCTTTCATCAAACGAGAAATATGATAAAGAAAAAAAGGTGAGGGTGGGGGCAGTTGCACAACACTGCACCTGTATAAGCTAATCAGAACGGGCAGAAAGAGAAACAGCTGGTACATATATTATAATATTCCGAATGGGATAATTTTCTAATGCTACAACCATCCATGAAATCTGGAAGAAATAGAATTCTCTCGGTTCCTTAGCATGTGTCTACATAAAGATAATACCAAGATTATTCCCTGTGAAAATTCAACGTAAGGAATTAGTTAAATGTTTAAGAAATCTTAATTAGACATAGGCATCTTGTTAATTCCAACCGTAACATAATAGCAACATAATGACATATCATAAAACAAATCTAATAGAACCTAGCTTAAAGACAAGCAAGCATCTTGTAATGTCATAGTCCTAAAATACAACAAACCAGAATTTATGTGATAGAACTGGAGAACAAGAATTTTATAAAAGGTTCAACGGAAAGGAGCAAAGTGCAAACACCACAACCACACATGAAGGCGGCTAAAGCTTTGTTAAATCAGTTTAACACAGTCCATTAGTTAAGCCTTATCATGAATACAAATTGTTTTATTAAGGTTGATGCAAATCTGCTTCAATGTAATATAGAGAGCATCCAAAAAATCTCCAGGAAAGATGAGTTCTCTACCTTGAATGGTTTTGAAAGACAGCATCAAAATTGGCCAAAAGATAGGCCTGGATCAAATCTTCTTCTATCTCAAAACGACTCAAAAGGTTGTTTCATATATGAACTTGAGGAAATTTTAAGATGAGTTATTCACTAATGGCTTTAAAAGAAAGCATACCAATTGAACCAAAAGATTGGCCAGAAGCCCATAACCAAATCAGGCCGTAGTATATGGTTCACAAACTGTTTCCATATTATAATGAGGAAATTTTGAGCTGATATAGCACAATTTTATAGTAGTGACAGTAAGGATTAGATTTATCACAATCATGATAGATGACACAATTCCTTTCTTGCCCCTCATTTCTACTAGGCATGCTAGATTGCAAACACAGTGATTCTCACTCTAGGTAACTGTTGATTGTGTTCCTGAATACAGGAAAATTATTGGCCTTCAGGACCCAACCCATGAATGACTTCTGCAGTGTAACAATATCATTACATTACCGAATTCAATCATATGGCCCAGTATGTGATGTATTATGTATATACAGAAACAAAAGGTAAGGTTGGATAAAGCATACAGTAAAAGACTAATATTCACAAGAAGCTAAAGACAAGGGAAATAATTTAAGTACAAGTAACTAGTAATTAATTATCCAAATTACTCATGCCAGTCTCTCAATTTGTTCCATCATCTTACTCCAGGACAATTAAAAAGCAAAGAGCAATTTGTCGGGCAAATAGTTTGATACAAGTTAGTAATCATATTAACTTGTGGAGAACTCTGTGGTAAAGTTTAGGACAGCTTTGGCAATGTGGTGGAAATATTCAACATAGCATAGATCTATTGCAAGGCGTGAATTTGGTAACAATGCACCTAGCAGTATTACCATCTTTCAAAGTCACCAAAGTCTGCTTCTAAGTAGGTCAAATAGCCATCTACTCAAAGGATAGAGAAACAAATATCTATGCTATACCGATGCTTGCAAAATGTCCTGCATAGACCTCTTCATTGTAACTTGGTATTAAAAAATGCATATCAGAAAATTGGGGGGGGGTGAGCATTTCCTGTTAATGGCACCATCCTCAAGATCAAATGACAGTAATCAACCAATTGCATAGCATTTGTAAATGAAGGAGCACCTTTTCTCTATAGATTCATGCAAACTACCTTAATTTAACATCAGACAGTTCTCAGAAACCAAGCAATGTTAACCATGATACCATAAGCAATATTGAGGCTGGCACTAGTACATATTTTGTAGCCATCGAAATATACTTATAAATACTACTTTAAAAAAGCAAGCAGGTTTTCAGTGCCCCAAACAAAACGACACAAATGGACAAATTGCAGGGTTCTTTATGTTTAAGATTGGTTCAAATGGTTTGTTCGCAGCTATTAGAAAGGACCATTGCCAGTGAGGTGCAACAAAGTGACGTAGTATGGTTTGTTTTAACTACGAACTCAAGTCAAACTAAACAAAACGAAAATTACATAAAATGTTCAACACAAAATCCTGTTTCATAAATAAACAATTAAACCAAAAAATAAAAAATCTTACCACTTAAGGAGCCATCCAAAGAGGAAATGCTGCATAATAGGAACCTTTTCGAGCACCTCAGCTTTATACATCTTAAGCAACCCACTATTGACCTTATTCCAATTAGGCACTCCACTAATATCATCCAACAGCGGCGAATGCTCTGCAAACAGACCCTTTTTCACTTTCTTTATAAACCCAATACAGGAAAGATACATATACTCACTCGAAAAATTCTCCAAAATGTCCTCATTGTGAATCGATTTCGGCTTCATATACTTATGATCAATCAACTGCGAACTCCCAAATATAAAAGGCAAGAAATGGTAATCATCTAAACCCCAAACTCCGTGGGACCCTGCTGGTTCCAAGCTATAAACAAGCTGAAGTTTCCTCATTAAGTCTAAATATTTAACAAAAACCCTAGCCACCACTGCTTGGTAATCTTCTTCCTTGATGATTCCCATTCTGGCTAAGCAATATAACCAGGCTGCGAAATTGGTTTCGTGCCCCGTTCCGTAATCGATTCGGCTTGAGTTTCCGAAGCTATCAGAGAAATAAGGGACAATTTCGATGGTCGAGGGTTTGAGATCGTCGGAGAGGAACTGGAGCATGAGGGATTCGGCGTTTTCGGTTAAGCGTTCGTGCCAGGTTCGATAAGAGATGTTTCCGTAACGAGAGGATTGTTGAACAGGTGGGATTTGATCGATCCAGAGAGATAGGGTTTCGATTATGGAGACAATTTTGGAGATAATGGGAGATTCGTGGCATGGGTCGGAGATTTTATGGCCACGGATGGATTCGGACAAGGCGACGATGAAGCCGAGGAAGTTTTTAGAAGTTGGGGAGTCGTGGAATTTGCGGATGTCGTCGGGGCATGTGATTTTTTTCGTTGGGACTTGGAAGCGGAAAGGAGGATCGATGATGGGGACTTTTTGGGATTGAGGGACAGGGGCGAGGATTATGGCTTGGGTGTTGTTTGGAGGGAGGTTTATGGCGGGGGCACGAATGGGTCGGTATGTAGGGGGAGAGGAAAGGTCCGGCCAGGAAGTTGGGGTTTGAGGTGGTGGCGCGAAAGTTGTTGCGCCGCCGCATTTGCAACAAGTTCCTGTGGTGGGGATGGCGATGGAGGGTTGAGGGTGGGTGTGGGGAGCTTGGTCTTGTGGGGTTCGCGGTGGTGGTGGCTCCATTTTGGCGGACGATGTTTGAGAGTGGAGGTATGTGATGAGGGCTTTCGTGGCGGTGGAGAAGAGAGAAGCGATTTCGAAGTTAAAAAAGCTTTGGTTGCGGAGTGTTCCAGAAAGAGCAGTGGTTATTGGACCATTTTGGGCGGATAAATGCCAGTGGGAATTGGGATTGGCAATGGAAGCTGCAAACCGCGAACTAGTTAGCACCCTTTATTCGTCTTTCTAAGCCCAAATGACTTCACAATTATATGCTTTGGGCCTGATTGTAGTACAGCCCATGAGTGACCCATGTGGATGGGGTGCCAGTTTGAGCAATAAGACCATTTTCTTTTTGCTAGGCAAAACAATTTAAACAAGGCACTTTGTTTTCACATATCCCTTCTTTTTTGGGGCAAAAGAAAAAAAAGTTTTCCATTTCTTGTGAGAAAAATCCTAGATAAATAAAAAAAAAATGATGTACTCCACACAAGTACCGACATTCAAGACTAGTACCAATAAAAAATTCCAACATAATATCATGTAAAGTTGAGATACACATCTTATAAATTGAGCCTATTGAAATTATTTTGCTATTTCAAGCAGTTTTCCAACTTTAATATGTTTTATTATTTATAGGATGGCCGTAATAATAATAATAATTATTATTATTATTTGTACAAGAAAGACTGAATCGTCAAGAGATAAGGGAAGGAAAATTATCGGATTGAACCCTTTACAACTAAACCAAACTAAACCTGGGGTGATCCGTGACTTCCGTTGAATTTAGTGTAATTTATTTCTTTCGGAATAATAACGTGACTAAAAAATCCATTCCGCTAACACTTCAAATTAATTAACAAAGCTGCGGTACGAATGTTACTTGATGCACTAATATGTTGTTCAAGACTCTAATCAGTCAAAACTCTTCAAACTTGGGAAGTGGAAGTGTTTTTCATTTCGCTTCGAAGCCAACAGCACCAGCTAAATAATAGTACCGGAAATGTTAACTCTTGAGCGATCAGAAGGGAAAGTAACATGATTTCTCTTTTCACTGCTTTTTTATTAAACCAAAACGATATACAAAGGTTACTCAGTATAGAAAACAAGAAAGAAGAAAACCTCATGTATCCTAATATTTTGCCAAACTATAAGTTTATACAGAGCTCATCATATACCTAATAACATCAAAATATAACTCTTCCCATGTCAGTTTTGTTTGCTCAAACTAGTGTTTTGCAGGTAGATGTTTGAGGATCCCACATCGCTGGGAGCAAATACTTACGCCCGTTAACCCCAACCGCGTTATAGCTAGCCCCTGTCGTTTTTTCCAACAAAAGCTCTCCTGGATACCCCGGGTACGCTCCTTTCCCGAATATCCCCGTACACGCGCTCACCGCCTCCAATGGGGCTTCCGCCGGACCTTGAAAGTACCCGTTATTGAACGGATTCGTTACGGTTCCGGCCAAAACTGTTGCCAAATTAATCACCATCCCATCAACCCCGACGTCTCCGTTAGGAGCAACCAATGGTGGAGTTTGCGGCCCGTATATGGGTTGATGAAAGGGCCACGCGCAGTAACCCGGACACTGGCTCACCGAGTTACCCAGCCAAGCGTAAGCGAACCTGCTCTTATTAACCCGAACCGAACCATGTGTCCCGCACCTGCTCATGCAGAACCCATCAACCGCCACGTCAGCGGAAGTCAAAACAACGTTGACCACGGTACCTCCATGTTCATATCCAGCGTTGGAAGCCAAAGCTGTGAGTTGGGAAGTTTTAAGAGCTTTCCCTAAAGAGTACTTGTCATCAAGAATTTGTTTCCCAACAACGACACGGCTCGAACCACCTCCCTTGTACTTCCCAGTCGTTTGCCACCACGATGAAACAGAGGGAGACGACGGCGTCTTGGCGTAGCTGAGGGAGTTTAAGAAGTCGACAATTATGGATCGCTGTGTAGAGGAGAATTTACCGTACCAAATGAGGTTAACAGTAATATTACCCTTAAAGAGAGGTCCGTGGTGGTATTGAAGAATGAGGGGTTGTTGTTCAACAAGAGCTGAGAGTTTTCTAGCGGTGGCTAAGGAAGGGGTAGGCAAAGCCAAGGAGCAGAGGAGCAGAAGAAGTGAAAAGAAAGGAATCGCAGCCATGATCAAAGCTAAAGTAACTGATATTTGAGCAGCTGAGCTATGAATTGGTTTGGGAGTTCAAGAAACGAGTGAAGTGGGCATATATACGAGTGGGACTGGGGGGATGCGTTGGCGTGGGAGAAGGGCAGAGGACAGCTGGTTAGGAAATATATAATTAGGATTGTTGGATTTAAATGGAGCCGCGTAGGGTTGACCCTTCACGTCATAAATGGGTGGAAGATATAATAAAGCGCTAACTAATTGGATAAGGGAAGGCGTGGTGGACTGGGATGGGACTAATAAAAGGGGCTTAGCTAATTAGCTTAAAGATTTTGGTGAATAAGTTGAATTTCTTTTTTTAGTAAAGAAAAGTTTAAGAAAGGGGAAATTATTTTTCAAGATCAAAATATGTCGTAAATATCAGCGAAAATTTATATTAATTTAAATAAAAAATACCCTAAATAAGATATTGGGAGACTTAACTCATTGCTTCTTGCTTTCGGGTATCCCTGTTTGTGCTTTCTGGGGGTTTACAGTAACCAATAACTTACTTTAATCTGGCTATTTCAGTGTTTATAAAGAGATTATTACCCATATTTTAGTCATTTTTTATAATATGATTCTATATGTTTGTGGGAGAACGAAGGAACACCCTGTTTGAAACCCACAAAGAAGACACTACTATTTCTGTGGATTGGACCTAATTTGGAAGCAGTAGAGGTTCATTTTAGGGTTTGTAGTTTTTAGTTGGGAAAGTGAAATAATTATAACGGTCAAAAAGTGTCAAATTAATAAGCGTTTTTGGACAATTAATGTAAATGAAAGTCAGAGATGTCCAATAAAATCTAACATTAATTTTCAATGGCAACACGGATTGTCTCATTTTCGTTTTTAAGCTGCCATACGCGCTGTAGTTACCATTACATTTACTTTACAACTGTCTTTGCCTCGTCACCAATTGAATTAGGTATTTAGCGTAAGAAAAGGTTAAAACCAACATCTTCCAAGTCGAGAAACATTAACTACTTCCATTCTGCTACACTGTAAAGACCTTTGAGTTGTTCGAATACAACTCAACTCAACCTTTCCATTAACTCTATTGGTAGATCCAATACTTGGCTAAACTAAAGTCTCAAGAGAACATCAAATCCACGAGTCCCACAAAGAGAAGAATAGTTTAGACAAACTTTGACCACTTGTTATGCCCTCCCCTGACTCAAAAAAAAAAAGAAAAAGAAAGGTAACAATTACACCTGTCCAAGTCACGTAATTATGTTTCTAGACGTAAGAGTATAGAGAAATAATAATTACAAGATAAAGAGTTGGAAGAGAAACCTGAATTGATTGTCTCCTACAGCTATCTTTCTTGCTTTTATCACTTTTTTTACGTAATCACTAAAATGTCAAAAAGAATCTCGAAATCTTAAACTCCGATGTTTCTTTGATTTTTCTTGCAGGAAGAATGTTTTTTTTTTTTTTTTTTTTCAAATTACTTAAGGATATTATCCTCCTGACCCTGTAATACCTCAACACCTGTCGAGTTTTTCCTTTCTTTTTTTGATAAATTGCAATGAGCTATATGAAGCTAATTTGGCACCGGCCTCTTTTAATAGAATATGTAGTTGATCGTCCTAGGTGATCAAGGACTAGCTGGTAGCCACAATGTTCTATTCGTATATTTTTTTCCCTGCATTTTTTAGTTTCAATAAACCATTTAAGTTTATTAAAGAAACCTGCTTTAATCTATGAATCAATCTTTTAATTAATAGTTCATTAAAAACCCTGAATTATCTGGATTGTTCAAGCAATTATTTAGCCGTGAACCTTATATATAATCTATGATGCATTCCAGCTAGTTTCATTTCTAAAAGAATTAGTATCAACCAAACATATTCCCCCACATTGTTGATTAATCTAGAAAAAGAGGTTATATTTTAAAGTTTTCCATGGTTTTTTAAAGGCCAATTGCTTTTGCCGCTGTATGAGGTTTGAAGCCAATGATTAAAGTATCGAATTGGGTTTATTCTAAATTCTCCAGTTTGTAAAGCAGTCAGTGATCACGGATGCTAACTTTATAAAGTGGTGATTATTTTTTTAACGATTGATACTCCTACGAATGGGGCCAAAAACTGCAATTAGAGAGGTTGGGTGCCTTATTTTGAGGTTAATGATTGTTTGAAAAGTGAAATCTAATGGTGGATGGATGCTTAGGTTTTATAGCAAGAAGCTGAAAATGGGTAAATATTGTGGTTTTGTTATACAAGCTATTGTGGCCTAAAAATATAAATAATATAGGAGCCAATGTTGTACCTCGAAAAGAAACAAAAATTAAAATATCGAAGAATCAAATGCAGCCTTTGCCGGTTTGCCCTTTAGCTTCGCATGAGTTGGTTGGTGCAAATATTATAAAATTTAGGATAAGGGAGGTGAGGAAATTAAGAGACATGAACCATACCTTTTGATGGTGGTTTTGGTGCTCTTCTTAATTTAAGGTAGTATTGGAAAAAAAATTATTCTTCATAAAAATCGAGATTCAAGAAAATCATTTATCAGCTTATAGCATGCTAATTGAGTAGGTTGCCTATCTCCATTTATCACATGATATCTCCTTAGGCAATAAAGGGTTATTTTTATTATTATTTTTATATTACAAATCACAATTTGAAAATAAAAGAAACAATTGTATATATTAGATTTTAATCTCGATTTGAATATATAAATTAATTGAATTAAATTTTAAATTTTAAAATTTTTATTATTAATTAATACTATTGTTACTTCTAATTTCTTATTAATAAATTTGTAATTTACTAGTAATTTTAGCTATCTTAAAAGTAAAATACTCTTAAAATAATGGACTAATTATACATGATTATTCTCCAAAAATATATATACATGATAATTTTGTTGATTACTTATAATTTTCTCGTCCCCTATCATTATTGAGACAATGTTTTTGCAATATTTATATACTCCTATATGCCAAACCATTGGTTAAGATGTTAAAAATCAAAGCTCAAAAGTCCATCTTTTTTTTTTTTCTCAATTTCATCTGATCGATAATTTTGTTTTTGAATTTGACAAGCAAACCGATGAAAATTCGAAACACCAACTCCTTACTAAAAAGCAATTCATTGAGATTAGGTAAATAATTGCCCCCCTTCAAAACTAAAAAACAATTCAACAGCTGAAATTGCAAGAATCAGTTGGAACTTGGAAGATTTCGTGTGTGGCAAAGGCTAAGGCTAAGGCACTAACACCAAAGATAAGGTCGGAAAGCTAAAGGGACGTCGGTGCAAATATACTCTAATCTTTTTGCTCGGGACAATGCAACTAATTATTTGTTTAAGACAATTAATCTCACGTGTGGGAGAGGGTGGATCGTCGGCGGACTTGTCGTGAAAGTCATGAAACGGGATGGTCGGCGTGCTGCAGCTCTGTTGGCTGTGGCCAAGCGTATGGCGTAAAGAAGGGGCATGTCTTTACGCGGCCATGTCTTTTCAGTGGGTGTGCACGTTTTTAGTGTATGGTGGCTCGTCGACAGTGTTGAGTACGTTGACAGGGAAAGCGCTCCTTGGGGTCCCTTAGTCTCTACTAATTGATTGAATTGTTTGAACCTTTTTAAGAAGGAAGAAGCGAAGGTGTAATTCTTGACTGGTTTAGCTAGATGATCAAATTTATTGCCTTTAGTTTTCGTTTTCAACAACAATAAATTCTAAGATTGGTTGCATAAAAAATAACAAAAATTATTTTATATTTTAATTTTGAATTTAAACTTTTAATTTTTATTTTCAATGAATGAATTTCTTTTTATATTTAAAATTATTAAAGTTCAAATTTTGATCATTAAAATTTGAATTTCAATAATTTATCGTCGGATTACACAACTATGAATTCTTAAAATTTTTACTTAGCTCGTAATTGAACTCCTAGAACATACACAATGTATTTGTTAATGATAGAAGTACACATATTGAGATACTTTGGATAATTCACAAAGTATGTATTGGAAGTCAAATCTTATAAACAAATAGTAAAACATTCGTGCCAAAATCTACTGTTGATAAAGAGCCTACTCGAAATTAGAGGTTCAAAGTTAACCTGAAATGGAAAATATTCGCATAATTCGCTTGAATTTTAATTCAACTATTTTATTTATAAAAAGTCAATAATTTAAAATTGCTCAACTTAAAAACGAAATGATTCAAATTTAAATAATTTGAAAATAATTTAAAATAATTAATTAATTTTAAAACTCAAAAATTTGAATTTGAAATCATCCATCCAACCAACTCGAGTATTAAATCTAAAAGATTCAAAATTAAAATAATTTAAACCCAATTAACACGAATGTTTTATTAAAAATAAACATATTCTAAAATGAAGAAATTGCACATTTATTTTTAAGGTCTTATTTGGAATCAACTGCACTTTCAAAAGACAGTTGCTATAGTAGTTTTTCCTAATTACACTGGACAACGTTTGAGTGCCAGTTGTGAGGTGCGTTTGGTGGCTTTTAGTCACTGATCAAATTTGGTCCAGTGAATAATTGATCACTTTTTTTTATTTTTAATATTCTATTTTTACTTTTTTATAATATTATAATTATTAAAATATATTTTAAAGAATTTTTTATTCTTTTTCATTTTTTTTTATTTAAAAATAATAAAATAATTTTATTAATTTAATATAATAAATATATTATTTGATAATTATTATGTTTATTAACTTTTAATTATTTATTAACAAAATATTATTTGATATAAAATAATTTTTTAATAATTCACTATTTTATAAATATTAAATTATTTAAAATTTTATTTTAATATATTTAATAATTATTTTTTTATTCTCACTATAATTTATTTCACTATCACAACAACATTTACATCTAAATATATATTCAATAATTTATTTTAATATTATTATTATAATTACTAATCTCACCCTTTATCTTTTTTTCAATATTCAGGGAATTAATCTCAACTCCATTCAAATATAACCTAACTTGGGTTGGACTGTCGACGCAACCTATGTGTCTAAAAAATATTTTCTTTTTATCAAAAAACCGTTTAAAAAAAAAAAAACCCCTAGAAGTAGAACTGTAGATGATTTTTTGTTTCTAGAAATAGAAAAGAAAAAAGAAATGAAGTACACTTAAACATTTGGCCTCAGTTTTTCCCAACGAAAGACATCTGCAGAAGTCAATAGACAGCTAGCAAGGGAGAAATCTGGTACCCCAATTTAGAAGTCAATAAAATTCCCTTAATTAAGCGGTGACGCCAAACGTAATTTTCCCGACTCTGCTGTTGGCACGTTTGCCCTTCAGCTTTAATTCTTCAACACACAACATTATTTCCTCAACATTCCTCGGTACAAATTTCCGCAACATAGATTATGGAGGCATAAATTTTTATGTGCTACTAGTTTAAACTCTCTTACTGGGCCAAAATTTTGACTTCAAGATTTATTTGAGAGTCCAAGTATAGGACTTTGTCAACATTTGAAGGTGCGTTGTATGACCGTAAATTTAAGCTCCCTTGCTAGGCTTCAAGAAATGGAGCCCAATCTTTCGAACGCTCCTCCGATAATGATGCCAAAATTGCTCCTCTTTCCATCCTTTTTTAATTTGACTAGTTTATACTTTCACCTTTTAGATCTAAATCTATAGGTTCTGTTCAATATAACTAAACAATGAGCATCAGAGGAAATGTAGAACTCAGAATATGAGATAAGGAGAAAATTTAAGTGTGAATCTCTTATTCAATCGTGATAGAAAAAGAATAATTCAATAATACAATAAAAGAATCTCTCACAAAATTATACTGCCTAACATATTTTTTTATGCTGTCATGTTCGTATTCTTATAATTCTTTGTTTTAAACAAGAGTAGAACAAGTTGAGGTTGAAGGGTCAAACAAGGCAGGAAGCAGGTACTTCCTCCCATTGACACCATGTGCATTGTAGCTAGCTCCCGTTGTTGCGTCCACCGGAAGGTCACCAGCATAGCCTGGATAAGCCCCTTTACCATAAATCCCAGGGCAAGCGGATGCGGCCTCCAGTGGTGCCTCTTTTGGACCCTGATAGTAGCCATTTCCAAATGGGTTCGTGACAGTCCCAGCTAAGAGGCTAGCTAGATTGATCACCATCCCATCAAGACCTACATCATTGTTTGGTGCAACCAGAGGTGGGTTCTGTGGTCCGTAGATGGGCTGGTGGAATGGCCAAGCGCATTGACCTGGGCACTGTGTCTCTGAGTTACCAACCCAAATGTAAGCAAACTTGGAACTCTTGCCCTTAATGTGACCATTGCTTGAACCCAAAGCTGAACCATGGGTTCCACACCTGCTTGAGCAGAACCCTTCAGCAGAAACATCAGCTGATGTCAAGACAACGTTAATGGCATTTTTCTGAGCACCCTTTGATGCTAATTGTACGATTTGTTGATTTGTTAATGACTTGCCGAAAGAGTAGTTCTCATCAAGGATTTGTGTACCCAATGACAGGACAAGAGAAGAAGATTTCTTGCTGAGCTGATAGTATTTTTCTGTGGCTTTCCACCATCTAGCAACGGAGGGTTGAGCTACCGTAGGCTTGGAAGATGTAATGGAAGTGATGAAATCGGAGACAATAGTACGTTGAGAAGGCTTGAACTTGCCATACCAAATGAGATTAACAGAGATTTTCCCAGTTAGAAGGGGGCCATTGTGGTATCGGAACAGCAAAGGCTGCTCGTTTAGGTCTGACTCAGCAAGCCTCCTTGCCTCTGTAGAGAAATGAAGCGAAGAGACCAAGAAAACAAGAAAGAAAACAACATTGGAAGTAGCAAAAGAAGCCATGATCAATGAATTGATTGATGAAACTATTTAACTGATCAGAAAACTGAACAAATAATGAGAAGAAGATGGATGAAATGTTTGTGAGGTTTGGGATGAAGAGAGCTGCAAGTAGGGAATGTATTTATAGTGCTGATTTTTTTTTTTTTATAGGTTGAAAGTGCTAGGAAAGAGCTGAAAATAGAGGAAGGTAAAAAGTGGGGGGAGTGAGTGGCCATGCCAGCCAAATGACGCGTTGTATTTTAATCAATAGTCCCGCTTTCAACCGAATCAATGCGTTAACAATACAGTTTCAAGCCAGCTAAGGGAAATGTACCTAAGGAGAAAAGAAAAGGACAAAAGTGAGTGCTCTTGAGTCAGGTGAAAGCACATTTGAGGCACGGTGAAAACGCGCTATAGTCCTTAGGAATGTCTAAATGTTTATAGTTATCGGAGATATGCCGCGACTTTTTTGTGTCTTTGGGACTGCGCAGTCAGAGGGGGATGGTTTTAGATATTCAAAAGTGCAATTTGCTGGAATATCAAGTTTTCATAATTGTGAATTGTTGAATAGCGTTGATGTGGCGTTGGGCTGAGATGATTACTCGGTTTGATTAATTTTATATAAAATTATTTTATTTTTATTAATTAAATGAAATATGTTAATTTTAAAATTAATCAATCAAATTAAATTAAATCAGTTTGATTAATTTTTTAATTAATCAAATGATAAATAAATTTAAATTAAGTTATATTTTAAATTTTAAAATTTTTATATTTGAAATAAATTAAATATAATTATTCAATAAAATATTTAAATATTAAATTATTAAATTAAAAACTTTAATCATTTTTAAAATAAAAAAATTTATTTCATGTATTTAAAATTTTTTATTTAAATTTTATATATTTCGATTAAATTTTGATTAATTCAATTTTTGAATTAACTTAAGCAAAAAATAAAAAAGCAACATTTTTTTAAAATTATTTTCGATAATAGATCCAAATTAACTTCATGATTTTTTTTTTCACAAAACAATTAAAGAAAACTTCATTAAAAAAAAAATAAAGCAAGCTTACTAATTGGCTGATAACTATTAAAAAAAATACTATTACTATAATACTACAAAAACAGTTCACACTTTTACTAAGGTCAGTGTTACAATAATGATGTTTACTAGTTCTCTATCATTCTCCGGCTTGAAATTTAGCACTCATTGCAGCTTAAGCACAAGTAATTAAATATGATCTCTGTTGTATATATATATTCATCTGAATCTAAATGGCAGACCAACTTTTCCCGAATGAAGAGGTGGTTCTATTTGGTAGAAGAAAACATGCACGCTTTCTTGAGTATGATAAAACTCAATTTAACCACTTTCATCAGGTACTTCTTGTTGTTCATGACACATCCAATATGTTAGACAAGTATGAAATTGTCGTAACGATTTTAAAATTATCAGACGTAAAGAATTTTTAAAATTGAAATAAATGAAGAAAGTTGTCATCAATTTTTGTTAGGGTGTGATTGATCACCTAAAAGTTTATTTTTTTAATAAAATTGTAAAAACGGGTTTAAAGTTTATCAAAAAGATAAATTTCGATTTACGAAAATCAAGTTAGGTTCGAGAGTCGGTTACGTGTAGGGAAGGATTAGTACTCTCACAACGCCCATAAATTGGTACTATTTAATCATGCGCTATTTTCGATGTTAGATAAAATGGTTTTGACTTGAAATTTAATACTAATTCCCTTCGTTTAAAAAAATATTTTTGCTAAAATTTTTATTTAGAAATATTGAGAAAATCTTTAAATTAAAGAATTATCTTAAAATTCTTCAACATCTAGACAGAATTTAAAATAACTCTTTTCGCTTAAGATTTAACACAATAATCTTTAAAATGAAATAACACTCTTTATAGAAAATTATTGGTGACTCTCTAACATTTAGGCAGAGTATCAAGAATTATTTCTTTCGGAATGTTATTTTTATTTTGTTTTAAACTTGCATATTTTTAAAAACAAGTAAATAAAAAGATATTTTGTACAAAAAAAAAAAGGATGATACTATTGGGTAACAAACAAATATGCAAAATGAGTGCAAACAATAACAAATAAATGCATGTAAGCTAATAGGTGCTATATATAATGAAATGCAAATTTGAAATTGGATTCTTAAATATAATGAGACCATCTTGACTCCCTAACATCTAGGTGGAGCTTATGTGCGACTATTCATATTTAAGATCCCATTTTATGTTATTATACTTTTTATTTATTGAAGTTTTTGATTCATTATTAAAGCGCATTAAGGACTTGCAAGAAAAACTTAATGGAATAAAGTTTCCTAAAAACCCCATCATTTAGGTGACATTCGAGAATAAATTACTCCATTTGAGATTTTTGCACATATCTTTAAAGTTTCGGAATGGTTTTAAACTTGAGTATAAGTCAAGGTTTTAAAGATTTGGTGAGTTTTAGGCAATGATTTGGGATTTTGTACCAAATTTGGGGTTTTCAAAATTTTGGATTTTAAGGTTTAGGATTTTGGATTTTAGGGTTAGGGTTTCAAGTTTCAGATTTTAGGGTTTAGTTTTTTGATTTTAGGGTTTGAGATTTAGGGTTTTGATTTTAGGGTTTGAGATTTAAAGTTTTGGTTTTAGGGTTTAGAGGATTTATGGTTTAATTTTAGGGTTTGAAGGTTTGGAGTTTTGATTTTACAGCTTGGAGCTTTAGGGTTTTGATTGTAGGGTTTAGAAGGTGAAGGTTTTAATTTTAGGGTTTGGAAAGTTTAGGGTTTCATTTTTAAGGTTAGGAGGTTTAAGGTTTAATTTTAGGATTTGAGAAATTTAGAGTTTCATTTTTAGGGTTTGGATTTTAGGGTTTTGGATTTGAGGGTTAGAAAGTTTTGAGGTTTAATTTTAGGGTTTCAAAATTTTAGTCTCGTTTTTAGGGTTTTGATTTTTAAAATTTGAGGTTTGGGGTTTTGATTTAAGGGTTTTGGATTTTAGGGGTTTGGATTTAAGAATTATTGTTTAGGGTTTCGTTTTTCAGAAAATGTAAACATCTCTAAAAATCTTCAACATCTAGGCGAATTTTTGGAGCAAGCTCGATTTTAACGATTTTTGAAAATTAATAAAAAATTTCTTATATATTTTCTTTTTTATGAAAATTTATTAAAAACAATTCCCTAACATCTAGGCGAAATTATTTTTAGGAATATGTTTTATTCCCTTAACCATCTAAGCAGGGAAAATAAGAAAATTTATTTATTATTATTATTATTTTTTAAAGCATTTTTAATATATATTTTTAATTATTATCTTACTTGTTTTCATTTTTATTATTATTGAAATAATTAAATATTTATCCTAACAAATTTAAAAATTCATCATGCATAAATATAAAAAATACTCAAAATAACAAAAACAATAATATATACAAAAAATCAAAAAAAAATTTTTTTTACCTGAATCGGACCGGTTAACTATCCGATCAACGACGATCGATTGGATCGAAAATGGTTCGGTTCGACGTGCAGTTCAGTTGAGCCGGCTGAGGAACGATTTAGGCTGATCTAAGGAACGGTTCGATTCTTTTTTATCAAACCGATTCAGATTTACTGAGGAACCGGGTTGTCGGGTCTGGGTCTACGCGTGGATCCTCAATTGCTCAAAACGACGTCGTTTTGAGCTGTTTACTTTTCTATATAAACCTCAAAAAAAAAAATTTTTGCTCATTTCTTCTTCTGCTTGAAAAAAAAATCTCGGTCTAAAAATGCTCTCTAGCTCCTGCCGGAGTCCGGTGTTGTGTCGTCGCACCAACAGTCGTTGGATCACCGCCGATGATCGAAAAATTTTTAAAATTTACCAAAATGCCCTTCTCAACCTCCTGAGCTCAGATCTGTTATCTTTTTCACGAAAAAAGCCCCGATGACGTAGATCGGGGTTTGAAGAGTTATGTTTCTTCTCTTTTTTCTTTTTTGTTTTGTAAACCAAAGACTGATATGATTTTTTTGTTCTTGTAAAGAGCATCGACGCTGAGGTTCCTCCTTGCGGGGAGGACTGTGTTTGTCTTTTTGTTTATATTTATTTGTTTTTTTTTTATGATTTTTGTAGGTTCTATTTAGGGTTGTTGAAGGGATAGGTTTGGCTTGGTGTTTGGGCTCGAAACGAGAGGGTGCTGAAGGTAGTATGTCTAGAGGTTTTGAAGATCTGTTCGAAAGTTTTCGAGAGGGGGTGTACGAGAGAGGCTAAAGGGGGAAACATTGGGGGTTTTATAGGGCTGAAATGATGGTAGCCAATGGGGCATACGTCTAGCTAGGTATGAGTGTGTGGGCAGGGTAAGGTTGATGATTTTGAGCAGTTAAGGCAAGTGAGGTGCAGGGGCTTCGATGGGATTGGGGATGGTGGTGACAAGGTGGGTGGCAGTGGTGGCGTGTAAGGCACCACTGCCATCCTAATTTTTTTTCTCTTTTTTTTTATCAGTTATCACTTTTATTTTTATTTTTTATATTAATTAAATTGATATTATTATTATTATTATTATTAAACCAAAGATTGGAAATGGTAGATCTAAATAAAATTCGATGTCTACAGTTACCCATCTTTGCACGTTTACTGAGAATCAATAATAAGACAAAGATAAAGACAACAATTTTGTCCAAAGCTAACTAAATGACTTTCCTAATTAATTTAAAGGATTGAACTATGAATAAAGTGGAAAAGAACAATTGAGATGATATTGCGAATTAAAAAAATGATAGAAATACAATGATTGGGATTAAAAATGTGAGTTGAAAAATAAAGATGATTGGGATTAAACCGTAAGTGAGAAAAATAAAAGTAACTAGGATTAAACTACAAGTTAGGAAAATAAAAGTGACTGAGATTAAATCGTGAGCTTGGAAACTATAGAAATGACCAGGACTAAACCACAAGTCAGAGATTAACAATGACAAAGGCTAAACCGTAAGTCAGAAAGAATAAAGTGATCGGGACTAAACCACGAGTCAGGGAGCTATAAGAATAACCGAGACTAAAGCATAAGTCAGAGATTAACAATGACCGAGATTGAACTGTAGGTAAAAAAAAATATAGGAATGACCGGGACGAAACCATAAGTCA